TTCTCGCGCCGAAAGGTGGAGGGCCTAAACTCTAGGTTAATAATTGATTATTATAAAAAATAAAAAATAAAAAATAAAAAAAAAGTTGCAAAAGTAATAAAAGTGAGGACTTCTCCCAAAAGGTGAGAAGTATGAAATGATTAAATGGTTGTTGTCTTGATTTGTAGCCTAGTTGATTTGAGTTTGTAAGTCCGTAGGGGTGTCTTAACACCTAATGCCCTAAAGCCATCTGGTTTGGGAGTCATTGACCTAAAGCTCGCTACATGAATCTTCTAGAAAGCTTAAGAGATCAACACATTGCATAATATTTCCATCTTTGATCCTCAATAAATAAAATAAAATAAAATAAAAAAGAAGAAGAAAAAGAGTGAAAAGAATAAGCGCACCTAGAACAATAAAGCTTTAATAAAAGGTCCACTCTCTTATCTTGATGATCGGTACTAGATTTTTATGCTAGTTTGAGGGTAAGGATGTGATTACTTCTCTAGTTGGCTAAGATAGCAACACACTTGATGCCAGACCACTCAAATAAAGGATTCTAGACTTGTTTCGATTTTCATGATCATTTTCTTGATATGTGGAGGACCATACTTGCTTGCTTGATATTGAAATTTTGGGAGATTGCTTAGAAACGGTTGAAAAATTGCATACTTGAGGTAGTTTTCTCCCAATGCTTGTTTGCAATATTGGTGCCTCTTTTGAAAGAATTAGCTTAATGTTTGTGGGTGCCATTTCTGGAAACCCTCACGAGACTTTACTCGTCCACTAGGGGTAACCTAGGGGTTTAAAAGGCTTGTTGCATATACTAAATGCAATCGTGTTCCCTACGAAAATGGTGTTATCATTTTACTTGCTTTCCAGTTTATACTTGTTTAGTTGTTCATTTCATTCCTTTACTTCTTAGTTCATTGCTAGGGACTAGCAATATTTAAGTTTGGGGGTGTGATGAGCACTGAAAAGTGCGCATTTAAACCCGTTAAGCTTAAGCATTCTAGTACCTTTATCTATCTTACTTTGCCGTTTTAGACTTATTACGTGTTATTTATATTTTCAGGCACTAATCCCAAAATTGAGCTAACTCAGCCAAATAAGAGCTTAATTGAAGCAATCCTGAGATAAACCAAAGGAGGAGCAAAGTGGAGAAAGAAAGGAGCAAAAAGGAATCAAAGTTGTGCAGCTGAAAAGTTCGATCGATCCAACTTAGAGTTCGATCGATCGAACATCTATGATCGATCACAGTACTTCTCGATAGATCCAACCTTGGCCTTTGCTGAAATTCCAAGTTCGATCGATCGAACATCACCTTCGATCGATCGAACCCTATTTTGTCCTATTCAAATGATTGATCTTATCCACAGCTGTACGCCTACCAACCACTTTTGTCCTTTTCCCCATAAATATCTTCGAAATATCTCAGCCTTGTCCTTATCCGGAGGAGTCAGACCACTTCGATCGATCCAAGATGCAGTTCGATCGATCGAACCCATCTTCGATCGATCCAAGTTAACGTTCGATCGATCGAACTTCCTCCAGCGAGAAAAAGTTAAAGTCCAGCTCATTTATTCCGTCCTTCATCCAATCATTGGAGAATATGCCTTGCACGACCACAGCTCATCATAGGGTGTATTTGACCTACCTATATAAGGAATATGATACACTTTTTGGAGAAAGCTCTAGAGTCTCTTGTCACACATTGAAAATCATCTTGGAGGCTATTCTTGGAGAGGAAGAAGGGAGGAAGCTAGAGCAACCATTGGAGGAGATCTTCACCAACAAGGAGCAGCCATGGAGTTAGCCCTTGAGGGTTGGATCATCACTACCATGAGTGGCTAGACATCTTCTTGGGGCTAGAGTTAGCCCCAAGCATGCTTTCTATACTCTAATCTTGTGTATTATTGAGGGATTAATGTTGTATGATACATCTTGATATTCATGTATATATAAATCTTGATTATTTCATGGTTTGTATGGTTTAATGTTTCCAATTGACTATTCTATTCTATCCATATGTCTATGTATGCTAGAGTAGGATATTCATGTGCTTATCTCTAGATTTAGTGTTTTTTATGCATGTCTATGTGTATTGATGCTATAGATCTAGAGATTATCAAGATGATATGCTTAATGAATGCTATTTTGGTTCATTTGATGGTTTATGCCTATTCTTGATGGTTTGTGCCTCTCCCCTAGTCTAGATAGCTTTATTTTCATGCTAGTAGTGTAGATTTAGTGTAGTGGTAGTGTAATGTTAGATGGGAGGACAATCTACTCTTGATGTTTGATGTTCCATGCTTGTGAGTCCAAATGGCATATTCCTCTAATATTGTGTTACATGTGGATTGTGAGCTTAATGAAGGATTAATGACTTGTTTTGATCTATTGTGCTATCCCCATGTTGTCTAGACAATATATGCTCTATTGTTTAGATATATTGTGCTCTTCACATGATGTTTAGACAATACTTGCTTGATTTGTCATCCTTGCCAATTGAATCAACCTAATGCACACACACCCTTATCATATTGCAACACATCCATTACCCTCAATTGATCACTTGTTAGTAGTATAGAAAACTATTGCTTGGTGGTGATCTCTACACCCCAAGACCTCTCTCTCTCTTGTTTACCTCATATTATTTTATTTAGTTGAATTCAATTTAGCTTAATCAACCAACCAACCAATTGTGTGATCACTCGACCTACTAACCCTAATTACCATAGTTTCACAATTCGATACACCATCAAATCCCTTGGGACGATCCCTACTTGCCCTATCTATATTTTATATAGAGAAAGGTAGTAGTGGCTTTCTATAAATGTAAAACTTGGCCACCTCCTAAATTCACACACAACTTTCAAGCTTTGTTGGTTGTGGTGACTCCATCAAGGAAACCAACAACATAAAACGATAATAACATTATGTAAAACCTTTACTACATAATATAAAATTTTCACTTAAAAATGTAAAACTCGCACGTAAACAAAGTAAAACATTCAATGCACTTAAAACCTTCTTATCTTTCCTTCATTTTTCTCTTTGCTCAACTTTCTCCAAATCAATGGCGGACTCTACTCTGGGTGAGGGGGTCTTGGCATCTATACCATCAACCCGTTGGATTTGCACATAGACAACCCGCACCCCTGCTCTCTTTGTTCCTGTTAAGCCTTTCGCTCATTCAGTTCCTTTTAACGCAGAGCTAGCACAAGAGGAGTAATGGGATGTCGTGCCCTAGGTCTACAAGAGAGAAAGATGATGAGGTGTGAATTTCATATTAAGAATAGTACTTAGTTGGTAAAGTAAGGGTAATTTAATAAATTTCAATTAGTATTTAAGGGTAATTTGGTCTCAATGTATTCATGAACCTAAAAAATTGGCACATTTGTAATTACTTTTACCTAAATTATTTTTTGATGGAGTTATTTTTTGAGTATTTACATTTTAGTAATTAACCATTGCTAAGGTATTTTTTTTTCCACTTAAATTGAATGCATCATTTGTAATAGGGTAATTTACATAAACCTTCCCTATGGTTTGCCATAATTACAGGAACCTCCCCTCTGGTTTGAGAATTTACTCTGACCTCCCCTAAAAATAAAATTATTCTACACGAACCTCCCTTATGTGTGACGGACCATCAAATACACTAACGGACCTGGCTAATTTATTGAAATGCCCTTAATTTTTCATGGTAAATTACTGAAGTACCCTATCTATATATATATATATATATATATATATATATATATATAGAGAGAGAGAAACAAAAAAAAAAAAAAAAAAAAAATCTTAAACTGTTTGGGCCGCCACCACCAACCATGTGTGTCACCGCCACCAACAAAATAACCATGAACCTGGTCATGAAAATTAACCCACCATGGCTGCAAAGTTTTGTTCTCTCTCCTCTCATCTCTCTCTCCCACCCTTTGTCTATATATATTTATACACACACACACACACACACATGTTGCTTGTGTAATTCTTCAATTACATATATTCCAGACAATCAAAGAATTTTCAGAGACCATGAATACAGTACTTGAAGGTGTCAAGTTTCTAATTTCCTCTTCCGCAAGAAGCAAAAAGGGAGATTTTGACTTACCCAAAAAAAAAAACTTACCCAAATCAAGGGAACAAAAAAAGCCCTTACCCAAAATTTTGACCTCATCGGAGAAGAAACATTGCTTCCGTTCAAACCCAGGTAACCTAAACCATACCAATATATGTTGATTATGCAACTCATGCTCCAAATCAACGTAACGGTCATCAAAATTAAAGTGTTCTTGTAAGTTCAAACTCAGTAATTGATCGATTCAGAGATATATTATAACTAAAAAAATGATATTGTGGCGAAATTAAGGAAACAATCTTGTGGATAGATTGACAGACCACCATAGGGGATAGCACTGGGACTGATTCCAGCGGTGATGGACGGCAGTGACTAAACGTGGAGGACACGAAGGAGCCACTAGAGTCGAAGTCGGGAGATCGGAGCTTGAGATTGTGAAGAACCCATCTCAAGGAGTTCATTTTCTCTTCGCTGCCTTCATCCCACGATCAGGCACCATGGCTTCCCTATTTAGTTTATTTTATTCTTCTTCTTTTTTTCTTTTTATTTCTTATTTTTTCACATATATTTTTATATTGTTTTGTTATCAATATTTCATTGGCTTGTAAGATTACACTTTACACATACACAACAAATATATATATATATATATATATGTGTGTGTGTGTGTGTGTGTGTGTGTGTGTGTGTGTGTGACATCAGCAATTATGGGATAAGGGTATTATGAAAATTTTAGTAAAATTTGTACATGATGTCAGCAATTTTCGTCGTTGACTCTAACAGATTGGAGATTCGTGTAGGATATTTTCATTCCTAAGGGAAGTTCGAGTAAATTTCTAAATTAGAAGGGAGGTCTTTGTAATTATGACAAACCATAAAAGATGTTAGTGTAAATTACCTTTTGTAATATATAATACTTTTCAACTTCCGCTGCTGACGTTGGGAAAATGTACAATACAAAAGGCTCATCATAATTTTATCACGTATTGGTGAGTTGCCTAGGTCTGATTTCTCCCGCCAAACAATTCCAATTTGGGGTTTTCTTTCTTTCTCCGGTTAAATTTCAACAGTTAGTTACAGTTAGTTATAGAAGATTGTCACAATAGTTTCGTCAAACAATCCCAAATTAAGGGTTTCGTTCTTTCTCTGCTTATTTTCAACCGTCAGATATGGAAGACGCTTCTCCTCCGTGGACGACCGTGGCTCCGGCGACCTCACTCATGTCGGAGGTAATCGGCCATAACGGTTCAACCTATTCTGAATAGACTCTGAGTCTGCTGGTAATTCATCATCATCATATTTTCTCCACATATATAGATATATGCATTCATATTTTACCGATTTGTTTGATTGTTCTTTTTTTTTTTACTGATTTATTAGAATATATCTGGTGTTGGTTTGGGGTTTAGTGGAAGGCTAAGGCAGGGGGTGTTTCTTGAGGTTGAGAATTTGCAATTGCTGTGTGTATAATTGTTTTGTTTTTTGATCGACTGTTGTGTTTAATAGTTCTATTTTTGATAAATTTCTTCCTCCATGTTGAGTAATTAAGATATTGCTGAAAGTGCATTCCTTCCTTAAGCTAATAGTAAGATAATTGTTATTATTACTATTATTATTTTTTCAGGTACATTTTGTTTGGTATGAATGAAGGTTAGGGTTTGTTGCTGAACACAAATTGGGGGTTTTTTGATTTTAAACTGTATACCTATAACATGTATTTGTGTATATAATCCATTTAACTGTCATAAGGGTAATTTTTGTCTTTATAAAATTTTGCCCCAGCCATGTGTGTCACGTGCCTTACATTGAGAATTAGATTTTAAAGGCCATTTATGAGGTGCTACATATCTATTCAAGAACTTTTCTAAGTTACAGTATTTATGTAAGGTTAAAAATAATAATTTTAGCTCTACAGAAGGGGGGAAAAAAACCATTAATTTGAGATCGATCAAATTCCTTAACAGTTGGTATATGGTTGTCTAAAAATGATAATGCAACAAAAAGTTGCACTGCAGAATGTTCTCACAAATTATCATGGAAAATTCATGCTTAAAGTTCGCTCATATATTATCTTTCACTTTGAAGTTGAAGCCAAACACATAGCTGCATATGCATAAAACTAATAAAAATTGGACAATCTATCTGCTTAAACCTAACAATTGCATGACAGGTGAAGAGACATTAAAAACATAACTATATAGAATGCATGAGTAAGACATCTAAGCAGCGTTCAGATAATTTGGCTAGCTCCATGTCCCGAAAGGTTCAGACGCTAACATGGCAAAATCAGGACTAAACAATCATCTCCTACCATCGATAGGCAATATTACATGTTCCCTTAGGCTATCAAACTTGGCATTTGTAGCACTATTACCACCATATTCGTTGGCATTTGATCTCTCATCAAGCAAGGACTCAGTCTCCTCCAAATTCAATGCTATGCCAACCCATCAATGCTTCTCTACCATCCTTAGCCCCTCTAGTCCCATTCCTACTTCCTTCATAGAAGGTCTGTCCTCCCCCTTCAGGTTTAAGCACCTCCTTGCAATCTCTGCAACTTCCGTGAGCTGCTCAGCATTTCCATCACACACTAGATGGTCCTCAAGAACTTGAAACAAGCAACCCTTTTCCAGCGAAGAAAGAAAATACGTAGCTAGACTCCTCTCCTCCTCTGGCCTATCAAAAGAAAGGGCCTTCTTTCCAGTTAGTAGCTCTACAAGGACTACCCCGAAGCTATAAACATCACTCTTCTCAGTCAATTGGCTCGTGTGCATGTACTCAGGGTCCAAGTATCCAAGAGTTCCTTGCACCATCGTACAGAACTGAGCTTGATCCAACGGAACCAACCTTGATGTTCCAAAGTCAGACACTTTTGCAGTGTAGTTATCATCTAAGAGTATGTTTGCAGACTTGATATCTCTATGGATGATCGGGGTAGAAGCTGCAGAGTGCAAATATGATAGAACCCCAGCAGTTTCTGCTGCAATCCTTAGACGGATATCCCAAGAAATGGCGGTTTCCTTTCTTTTTTTATGGATGTGTTCAAAGAGGGTGCCATTGTTGATGAACTCATAAACTAGTAGAGGGACCTCTGTCTCCAAACAACAACCCAATAGCTTTACCACATTTCTATGGTTGATCTGAAAGAGTACAATCACCTCGTTGATGAATTGTTCAATTTGGCCTTGATCCACTATTTTAGACTTCTTGATGGCAACTATTCTGCTGTCTGTTAAGTAGCCTTTATAAACTGTGCCATAACCTCCTCGACCAATTATTCTGCTATCGTCATAGTTGTTAGTAGCCATCTGAAGCTCTTTCTCGGTGAAAATTTTGACTGTATCCTTGGTTCCTTCTTGTCCAGAGAGCTGTTGTCGTAACATTAAACCACCATTTTGCTGAAATAATTTTACTTTGATCCTAACGAGCTTTCTTTTCTTCAATCCAAAGTACAACCAGGAGCTACCAACAAGCAGAACTGTTACCACTGTAGCAATTCCTGTAATTGAAATTAGAAAGGAATATTTTACTTCTTTTTGTAAGTAATTTAAGTAAAGCGTGAATAAAATACTGAAAAGTCTAAAGGATACCGTACAGTACTGAAAAGAAGTAAGATGAACATAACACAACCAAGAATATAAAACTCCCCCTTATATTTATATCCGTGGACAATTTGCTGGGAATATAATTCACCAAAAAACTTGGAGACCATAGTATTTTAAGGATAAAACAATCCATAATAAGCAGGAAAAACTAACATTTCATTCAAGAACCCCGAACCTGTTATTACAAATTAGCTAATTGCTTTATCACAACTAGCCTTCACTTTCAATTCCATACTTGACCAACTCGTGATGGTGCCACTCAACAATTGTGAGGTTTAGAAGGTTGTCTTGAATTACTACACTAACAAAGGAAGACAATACCTAAGGAGATCACTCTACCAAAGTATCTTTGTGGCCCAAAGGGTAATATAAATGAATTGATGGATATAAACTATATTCATTGATCTGATATTTCCCTCTTTTCAACTGGTGGCATCAATTGCTAAGGATATCTGATAAATTGAATCATCATTATATCTGAGGAGGAAATTAGAATCCATCTAATATACTTACCAACATAAAGAGTAATCACGAGTAGTTGATCAACAACGCAACCTTCTCCATTTGTTCTACTGTCCCAACGGTATCCTTTGGGGCAAGAACATTTATAATTGCCTGCAATGTTAACACAATGTTTTGGGCACCTGTTGAGACTTGGGTCCTCACATTCATTAATATCTGCAAAACAATTAAAGAATTAAATTGAGGCACATGTCAGGAAAACACTTAGAAGCAATGCAATTAAAGGTTTAATACAAACATAAATATGGTGAATACCTTGGCAACCATTGGACAGGTATGGGTTACCTTCGTAACCATTAAAGCATCTGCATCGATAGCCAGGACCATTTTCCGGTTCATAGCACTCGCTATTTTCTTTACATGCATAGCTAATCATATTCTTGCTAGCCACTTCACATGTCTCATTACCAATGGTCCAATCAAGCACCAACGGAAGCTTTTTTCTGTTCTTCAAATCACGAAGATAATTTTTTGAGAAGTTGAACTCGCTTTCTTCTACAACAAAGGCATAGCTGCAGGGGTTGAAGCCATGTATATATGTATGATTGTAGTAGCTACTTAGTGTCAAATTAATTTCCCTTACCCCTTTGGGGATGGATGTCTGGCAACAGCCAAACCCGGAACAAGAACCATCAGTAATGTCATCCATGCTATCACAAAGGGACATACACCCAGTCGTGTACATCTTATCACCTTCGTAAGCGTGTAAAATGGCGTAAGTATCACAACCAACTGCTACGAACTTATTCTGGGTATTAGAAATGGTGAATTTGGTCAGCTTGAATATGGGCTCGTTGTAGGTCGTCCTGTTACCATGATCATAACAATCATGAGCGGTAAACTTCAAGACATGCAACTGACCTTCGAGTGTAATTTTGGTAACGTTTTTTGTACTACTCTCTAAAAATGGTTTGGCAGGACTGAAGGAATTGTTACAGGTGATGTGGAAATGTTTGTCAAGATAACAGTCCGGGGTCATGCCGAATGGGTATGGGATGCTTACATTCCCACAGCGATCAGCGCAGCCGGGTTTGGCTATGGGTGCATTCGCTGGCAAAGCAGTTGGTGCTGAGGAGAATATCAACAGCACAAGGGAGAGAATTTGCACAGGCATCACAGGCAAACACATTGTGAGTGACTACTTTGTTTGATTTTTGATGGCTACTTTTTGGTGTATACAAAGTCACAAGCCTTTTTTGGTTCTTTTTTAGGCACTCTAGTGGAAGACCAAGTCCACTGCAGTGTGATATACGAAAGAGATATAAATGTGTCTGCGCTAATTTTGGCTGAGGTTCGTTGGAATAGTTGGTCTTTCTTTTTCCGTGGGTCAATGTTGTCTGAGTCACTGACAAAGATAGTAACATCCTTGACGTGCGGTGTCGGTTAGTGTTAACTTCATAGAACGAACCATTCGGTGCAAGTCTATCAAATCTTGTGAACATAAAGAAAATCTCTCTTGCAATATCTTGACTTTGGTTTAGTGATATTGTTGTATATTTGTATGGTCGCTCATTAGCTTATTTATTTTTAGTCCATGTAGTAATAATGTTTATTGCCAAACACCAGTTTTTTTTTTAAGTAATTCTGTAAATCAAGTGTTGATCGCATAAAGAAAGCGTGTAAAAGGGACAAGGGGTTTGTGAAGTCGTAGCCAAATTTTGTTTGGGCCTTGAGTGGCGTTGCTATCCAATTTTGACTTTTTTTTTTTTTTTTTTTTTTGACTTCCTTTCTCTTGTGGATCCCATTGATAGATGCATGTTACTTGAGAAAAAAGGTTTGGTGGCCGAAATTTGTAACTTTTTGTTTTTTGCATGAGGAATGTTTTTGTTTGATCTTGACTCTAGACATAAAGTTTAACAGGTAAATTTTTATGTTTTGTGTGGTGTGTGTGTTTATTTTTCTATAGTATGTGAGACTAACTTTTTTTCCCTCCAAATACTCAGGCAAATTGATAATTTGTAACCATAATTATTATTAGGGTTAATTACAATGACACTGTCTGAGGTTTGCCATATTAACAGTCATATATAACTTAGCCCTTTTTTGAGCCCTTTTTTGAACAAAGACATCATCCTAGTGAAAATTTTGATCCAAACAAGCCTTTAAAACGTTTAAAAAGATGAGATTGTCCTACAATATTTAATTTATTTTTATACACACTATTACATTAGCACCATCATATATAAATAATATATATATGATGGTTATATTATTTATATATGATGGTGCAGATGTAACAGTGTGTGTATATATATATATATATAAAACCAAGTCCAACACAGCACCATCGTCATCTACCGTCGCCCACCTATGGTCCTACACCACCGCAACTTCCACCCTCTCTCCACTGCTTGATCTGTGTCTCATAATCTCTTTGTTTCTACAAACTACAAGTCCTAATTTCACACCTTAGCACATATATACGTTTGTACATACATATATAAACCATCCCACCGATGCTAACCCAAACCAAAGCTTGTAATCCAATGGAGATTCCCGACGACGGCGACGACCAGTGGAAGCTTCGATGAAGGTGACCATCATACCAGACAACGGTGACGGCTAGAGAAGTTCCTGACAATGACCCGATGCTGAGGCTCCGCCGCTTCGGCGAGAAGAACGGTGATGGCGGTGGTGGTTCGATTAATCACAATCTATATATTCATACACATATATATAGGAAGAAGATAGATTACATGAACTTGAGGGATAAGTATTTGGGGGAAGTGGATTTGGGGAAGAAAGATGGATTACTGGTTATAAACATTGCTCCTTCAATTTTAATTTGATTTATACATCTTGTTTCATAAGATAGTTTCAGTGTTAAATTAACAACTTGTTTTATAAGATTGGTTCAGTGTTAATTTTATTTATACAACTTGTTTCAATTTTAATTTGATTTATACAGATCGTTTCAGTGTTAATTAACTTATAATTTGATTTATACAGATGGTTTGGTTACTAAGAAAATGCTCCAAATAAATTAGGCACATGTTTTAGTCTTTATACTAATTGAAACCCATTTTGCCATGTTTCCATGTGTTGGACACACACTGCCATTTTTGGTTCTCATCCTCCATTCTTCCATACCCCTCTGTATTGCTTTTGGCATCTCTTCTTCTGTAAAAAAAAATGTGTTTTTATTTCGTATTTTTAATCTCAATCTCTTATTATGCTGCAGAAATATATACATACATTAGAAATTTATACTGATGAACCTATTTTATTTCCAATCAGAACCTCTTTTCTCTGAGAAAAGTCAAGCACCATGGTAGTGGTGGTGGGTGTGGTGGCTATTGGTTTGGTAGGGTTATGAGGGTATTTTAGTCAATAAAAAAGAATGGTATTAGATAAATTGGTAATTGAATGTGTTAAAGGACAATAATGTCAATTCACCATGTGTAATGACCATTGTGGTGTCTTTGTTAACTTTATGAAACCTAAAGGGGTGTCTTTGTCCAAAAATTAGCTAAGTTGTATATGGTTGTCAATATAGCAAACCTCATAGGGTGTCATTATAATTAATCATTGCTATTAAATATATGTACATGTCTTTTTCCTTGCTGAATTGAACAATATATAAACATCAAGTTCAACATAAAAATAAAAAAGAATGAAGAAGAGAAAAACAAAAATGATGGAACAAAAGGACACTGTAAATGAAAGCACGTTGGTAATTTTTTTTTTTTTCACCTTTCTCTCTCTTCAATTTCCCCCTCCTCTTCGTTTTCAGATTTCTAACTCTCTTTCTCTCTCTTGGATTTATCAGGGTAATTGGACATCATTTTTTTTCAAGAAATTGGCTTCTTTTCTGTTCGTTTTCAGATTTCTAACTCTCTTGCTCAATGTTGCCCTTGGCCGTCATGATCTTTTCCAACATCAATTTTACCAAGTCCATGTTGTCGTGTGATTCAGAGGCCAAACAATATATATATATATATATATATAATCGGCAGAGGGCAGTGAAAAAATCGGGACAGTTGCATCATGGGCAAAGGTCTCACACTGCGGTTAAATAATAATAATAATAATACAATTTTGTTATTATTTTGCAGGAAAAAATAATTGCCAAGTTTTATACTTTTTTGTATATACATGTAAAGTAATTGTGATTTTTATGATTAACCAATTTCAATCCATCTGTATCTAGTCCTTAATACAAAAGTAAAGCTTTATCAAATATTTTCAATTACAATATTTGTTAAATCAATTTAATGAAAAATTACATATATAATTAGAGTAAACAGTATCTAAAAATGTCAACACAAAAAATATATTAATGTTAAAAACACACAAAAATCAATTCAGTTTTTGTAAAATTGAGTTTGTTCATTGTTGGTTGGCGAGGGAAGTAAGGGAAAATGGCAAAATACAGGAACCCATTTCTTTTACCACTATTAGTCTATCATCCAATCACAGAATACAAATAGAGCTCACAGTTCATCTGATCCACATGACATGAGAGCACATTGGTAGTTTATCAAGGCTTCAGCTTGAATTTAAGAATTCTAAGCCCAACGGGCCAAAAGGAACAAATGTTCAAGGACAAACTAGCACAAAACATGGCCCAAAAGGCCCAAAAAAAACAACTGAAATTCAATCGAGTTAAAATTCAGTTGCTACTGGTTTTTCTCGAACCTTAAAGAATTAATCTGGCGGATGTGGAGGAGGTCTAGGATCATTCGCCCCATTTTCCCATTCTAGGGTTAAGAAAGCTTCCATTCGAGATCGCAAAACCCTAGATTGTAATCTTGTGTAATACAACATTCTTCCATTCACTATAGTGTCTGATACAAACTATGAGTGGTTTTCTGTTTTTGTTGTTTTAAAATCCTTAATCTTCTTTTTTTTAAATGGACAACTAACACCAATATGTGTTGTATTTTAGATTCGTGTATTTGTTGAGAATGTTGTAGAGTTCTGATGTGATATCTGGTGTTACTTGGAATAGGGGATATGGGCTTCATGATCTTAGGCTGTTGGACTAAGTTCGCATTTATTATGGCATCTTATTTCTTTTCTCTCAGTCAAGTTCTTATACCGTATATCAATCATATATGTATATGTTGAAAAAGATATATTAATGGATGGGTGATAGATTGATTGTATTTGTTGAAAAAGATATACTTAGTAGCATAGATAATGAAGTTATCATACAAAATTTTTTTAAGTATAAAAATTTGTCGACAACAATTGTAAAGGTACTCAATGAAATTATCAATGAAGGTTAAATATTTTTTTTTTTTTTTTTTTTTTTTTTTGATAGTTTGAAAATAATTTATCTTATTGTTGTTTAACCTCCCCCACCCAAAAGAATTATCTCACTCCTTCACTGATTGAAGGTGCTTTTGAATACAACTTTAGTTAATACTAGGAGAAACATTTTTCATAGCTCCTAAGCCAATTTTGCTGCTTGTTAAAGAAATAATCTGATGAAGAAACCTCTAGGGATGTAAATTAATTGATCTTTCAAAGGGTCCTCTGTTTTTTTCCCTCCCAATCATTTATTCGTCTTTTATTTCCATCATTGAGAAACTAGTTCTTGCAGTACACAAGGTGGTAAATAGCTGTTGCTAAAAGTCATTTTACAACAAAGTTACATCACAAAATGTTCTTACAAACCACAATGAAAAGTTCCCTCTTGTAACAGATCTGATCACTTTAGGTTGCAGCAAAACACATTCACACAATGTAGGTATAGAAAACACCATATTAGTGCATCTGCCTAACAATTCCCCAATTACTTAAAAAAACACTCAAACAATATAAAATGGGGCAAAAAAAAAACACAATACATATAAAGAAAAGAGACTGAAAATCAAATTGTATGTAGAAGTCATTACAAGTAGATATGTTGATAACTACGCAACTACACATCTTTCATGCTCGAAAGGTATAGATGCTGATCATATAGCAAACTAGGACATCACTAGGCACTCCAGTCATAGGATGGGGCACAGTCGCAGTACACACCTTCGATGAAGATGCAAATGCACAAATGGCAAAACAATCACCTCCCACCATCTAATGGCAGAACAATATGCTCCCTATTGCTATCATACGCACCTGTTGTGTTACCAGTAAATTCAATTCCGAAAGTGTTTGATGTGTCTCCTAGTAGGCACTCAGTCTCTTCCGAATTCAATTCACCGTTAACCCATGGATGCTGCTCCATTATTCTTAGTCCCTCCAGTTCCATTGCTACTTCTTTCATACTAGGTCTTTCTTCCCCATTTACTCATAAACACTTCTTTGCAAGAACAGCAACCTCTTTGAGCTGCTCAGCATTTCCCTCATGAACTATACTGCACTCAAGAACTTCAAACAAGCGATCTTCTTTCAACGCAAAAGAAAATAAATAGCTAGGTTTTTCTCCTCCTCTGGCCTGTCAAAAGAGATTGCTTTCCTTCCCATTAGCAACTCAACAAGGACAACCCCAAAGCTGTAAACATCACTTTTCCCCGTCAATTGACTTGTCTGCAAGCACTCAGGGTCCAAGTATCCAAGAGTTCCTTGCACCAATGTGGATAGCTACATTTGATCAAGGGGCACTAACCTTGATGCTCCAAAGTCCCGACACTTTTGCAGTGTAATTTCCATCCAAGAGTATGTTTGTAGGCTTGACATCTCTATGGATGATAGGAACCGAAGCTGCAGAATGCAAATAAGA